GTGAGAACATTTAAGGAAGTTTTCTGAGAAGACAATAATTTTTATTCATTTTAATTTTTTGCATCAGGTATAGCACATAATTATAAAGATGTTAACACAGACCCACATACAGACAATTGGGAATGTGGCCCCATCATATCTGCAGGCTCTGAGCATCTCTGCAGTTGCCCACTTTGATCACTTTTTAACTTCCATGGAAGGTGCAGGCGTTGAGAAGTTCTGTGGAGCACAACATGAGAGAAAGACCTTCAGGTCCTGCCTGTACTTACTCAACACAATTTTGTTCTTATTTTCTAAAAGCAAATAGTAGGCGGTAAAGATTTTTTAAAAACGAGCACTCTCTCCTCTCAGTAATGTCAGTACTATCCTTAATCACCTACATTGTCCTTCCTTTCCTGCTCTCATTATCTACAACACATGAAATAATTCAACAAAAAATCAGGTACACTCCCAATAATTGGGTTATCCAAGCTCTAATTTTATTTCTCCAACTTTTTTTTGAGGCATCTATGCCATTCTAGATAGAAAGGACCTACTATCATGTTAACTATATTCTGTTTCTATTATTATTTTTTACATTTTACTTAAAGTCTTTGAAAATTGATCCTCTGAGTGGTATATACATGTCATTCCCAACCTTCTCCCTACATTTGAAGTGCTCGCATACATACATTTTTATTTTTTACCAAAAAAAAGAAATATATATGTAAACAAGTTCAATTTCCAAATGATCTCAAATTCTATTGCACACTCTGTCTCCTTCAAATGCTTTGGCCTTTTTTCAGCTAGTGTCTTATACTATTGTCTAATTGAGTCACCTCATTGGTGAGTCTGAATCCTCCTGTAGCGCCAGGAACAAGCCCTCTGAATCTTTGTGCTCCTATTAGTACCTACCCAGGTCCTTAATACAAACATGTTTATCTGGCCCCCAACATTATTTCTCAGTGTTTTATTCTACTCACCAGAGGGTAAGCATTGCCTCACATTAGCAATGGCTTTAAGATACTCTGGTCCTAAGTACTTTTGATAAGTTGTTTTGTCCTGAAGGTTAGCCAAACATTCCGTGTCATCACTGAAGAGCAGGTCCTTGGTTGAGGACCTGAACAACTGGAACATCATATACTCAAACCCATTTCTTCCAAAGAGCTCCTGGGTCAGACAGACAGACAGACAGTGAGTGACCGGCAGCGCCAGAGAGCACACGGTTGTGTATTCTGCCTCAAAAGACCCAAGTCTCCTAGACTGCTCTGCTCCAGCCCCTAGGAAACCTGGAACACAGCAACACTCCTGGAGGCACCATAGTAAAATGGCAAAAAGCATGGCCTCTAGATTCAAATCCTGGCCCTCAATTTTCCTTGTCATGTGATCTTAGGAAAATTCTTTACTGAGCTTATTGAACCTCAGTTAATTCCTTTGTAAATGATGAGATGATGTATGTTAAGCAAGTGCTAAGTAGAAAGGGCTCCAAGTTTGCCACTATATCACTATTCCACCAGTCATTGGTGCTTTCAATTTCCTGGGTCATACTTGTATGTCTTGCTGCTTCCTGGAGCCCTTGCTACCTTGCCTCTTCTATTCTCTGGACCTGCCCCAGGTACCCATTTCCATCTCTTTCTTCCCCTCCCCTCTCTTCCTTTGTTCACTTCCCTTGTAACCAAGGACCCAATCCTTCAAAAGTCTGTGACCAAGAACCTCTGATTTTGCCAACTCTCCCTGAGTTGTCCTTTAGCTGGAATGTGTGGGCAGCATATGCCAAGACATGGATTACTCGACAAGGCTCTGGGTGTTCCCTAAGATCACTTGATTTATGCATGCCCGCTGCTCAATAGCATCAGCCCTTTCGGGCTACCTGTAAAGGTCATAAATTATCTGAATGTTGGCTTTATCACTTTCATGAAGCCTAAAACAGTGTTCAGCTTGCCAGGTTCACGAAACACAATGGGATCTACCTAGATCAGATAGGGTAACCTCCATTCTGCTTTTCCCACATACGGCTCAGTGTAGTGTGAAGGGCACTGAGCTAACTCCCTTATGTCTGTGACAGAACAAGCCCACAGGTACCATGACTCTGCTCAGAAAGAGGAATGAGGCTTGGTGAGACACTTCAGATGGCCACATGTCTGAGGCTTTTTCCATCCACTGTGATATCCTAGAGGCCCAGAGCAAGAAGTGAACACAGCCAGATGCCTTCCGCTTTCATCAGAGGAAGGGCTGCAAGAATCAAGTTCCACTGCCCAGGGAGGAAGAGAGTGAGACTGGGCTGGGGTGTGTCTGTGCAGGTCTGCGAGCTGAGCATGCAGTTACCATACCTGTTGGTTGAAGAGCATTCTGCGAACAGAATCTGCCTTATCTTTCCTTGAGACCACAGCATGATTTGGGACTATGCCTAGGTGGCAGTTCTGAGCCTCAGTCACAGGCTTTCTGGTGCCATCGAGGCACAGCAGCTCAAAGTCTTTCTGCTTTAGGTCCTTAGCCCAGTCTTCAGGGTTTTTTCCTGGGGAGAGAGAAACCAGGTCAACTGATAGCTTTTATCGAGGGAATGAGCTTGTGACCAACCCCCCGTTTCTCGGAGAATCACAGAGACACAGAGAAACAATAAAGCTTTTAAAATAAAACACAAGAGAAATATTCATAAACTCATAAGTTCATTACCTTTCTGATTAGTGATTTTCAGCCCCATTAAAGACAAAGATTTCTTAAACAGGCATGAAAAAGCACTAACCAAAGAGGAAAAGATTGATACATTGAACTACATTAAGATAAAGAATCTCTGTTCATAAAAAAGACATCATTAAGAAAGTAAAAAGGCAAGATTTTTCATAGATGGACAATATATTTTGAATACATATAACTGTTAAAAACATGTATCCAGAATATGTCAGGATGCCTATGCATCAACAGAGCCAGACGTGCTCAGATAGACTGCATCCTCCGCATGTTTGTCAGTTGGGTTCAAGGCCAATGTGATAACCAACCTGTCAAGTCTGACTGGACATGAAGAATTTTCTCATTTCCTACATAAAAAAATGTTAGAGCCAAAGTCACTAGAGTCTTAATGACTTAATAAACTTCCTTGACAGCCCACCTAGGGAGTATTTCCCATGAGAAACTCAGATTTTTCCAAGGGCGGAAAGGACGGAGCAGGCACATACCGTCTGTGTTCTGCAGGACCGTGGGGTGCTCCACGAAGGCCACGTCTCCCTTCTCAACCAGACACCTGCACACCAAAGGCCAGGTCAGTGAGGAGGGTCAACAGGAGGGGGTGGGGGGAGAGACACCAAAAGGGAGTCACTGAGAGGCTCACACCCCTCCACCCAGTCCGCTTGGCACATCTAACACTGACCACTTCCACACACACAGCTGTAATGCCTGGCTGTCCCTGGGAATTAGAGGAGAAATGTAATAATTTTTTTTTTAAATCTGCTTATTTAGTTTCTAATGCTCCTTATTTTGAACACTGTTCAGTTTTTCCAGAGGAGAAACTCATATTCTCCTATTAACAGGGATATTCAAGAATGACTCTCTGGTTGGATCAAAGTTCATATCAGAGAGTAAAATCAGCATGGAAGATGTGATTTTGAAGGAGTATTATCACACCCATATGTCTACTCGGCCTTAATAAAAGTTAATGTGCATCACTAGATATTTGTTCACACTTAATCCCCTGAAAAATGTTTGTCTGTGGTTAAGGTGCATTCTTTATGAGAAATATTCACATTGGCATCAGTTTTATGACATTTTTTCAGATGTAAATTGCTATTAACTATTAATTATGAGGAGCACCTCTCCAGTTTTCTCTCTCCTAGCATCAGGTCTCTCTATACTTGGCTATGGTTATTACTCCCATTCAGTTTTCCTAAGCTCACTTGCCCTGTTTCTTTCCTTTAGTGCCCCTTCATACAACCCCAGTCCCGAATGAGCATGATCATCTGCCTCAGGTGTGTCTGCACCTCAGCAGTGAGGTAGACCAGAGATCTCCCCAGTGATGAACTTCACTTGGGCATTCCTCTTCTCCTTGCTCTCTTCTAGACCCATTGTTCTCAAAGCTTGAGCTGGGACCAGTAGCCTGGGTGCCAGCTGGAAACTTAGAAATGCACATTCTCGGGCCCCACCCTGGACCTACTGGATCAGAAACTTATGGGGACGGGGCCCAGTGATCTGTGTTTTAACAACCACTTGAGGAGATTCTGATTTGTGCTTGAGTGTGAGAACTAGTGCTTTCGACAGCCACCTCCCCACTCTATAGAGCAATGGCTTCAAAAATGTTTCCCACTTCCCAGAAACCTCTGTCTCTCCCCAACACTCCTACTCCAGCATGTGCTCCTACTTCCCAGAGAAGCACCGAAATCATTGCTGGGCTTTCTTTCAGCAGAGGTTGGCAAAGTGAGGTAGAATCAGCAAGAGACTGAGATGCAGTAACAGGAGAGGAAGGAGGGGATCCAAGAGAGTGTGGTGTCCTGAAGCCAAGGAAGAGACTGTATCCAGGAGGAGGAAGTGATCGGTGGTGCCAATGATGCTGGCAGATCGATAATGCAAGGACTGAGAACAGGTCTTTGGATTTATTTAGCAGCACAGAGGTCACTGGTGATTTACAAGTGTAGTTACAGCTGCTGGTGGATGTGGTGCACCAAGGGGTAGATGTGGTGGGAGCAGCCTGCCCATGTGCCAACAACGAGGAGGACTGTTTTCTTTAGATAATTTAAAAACAATAATAAAACTAATTCTGCTGGTTGGGGTTTGGGGAATGTAAACAGATTTGTAAACTGGGTTCTGGGAAGATTGAAAGGAAAGAAATTGGAGTGAGCAAGGATGTTGAACTTCTTCAAGGAATTTCGTTGTAAAGAGGAGAGAAATGGGAAGGAAAGGAAAATCAAGAGAGGTTTTACTTATTTATTTATGTTTAAGATGAAAAAATGGCAACATGTTTGTAGGCTGATGGAAATGATCTAGTAGAGAAGAAAATGTGATGATGCAGGAGAAAGAAGGGAGACGTGCTGGGGCAATGCCCTGGAAGAGGCTGGAGGAGGGGCAGTCAATGCTGGGACAGGACTGGGCCTTGCTAGGAGACAGCCTGGCCATCCCGAATAAGAGGATGGAGGGCAGCGTCTCTGGGCACAGATGCCAGCACATGGGTAGATGTGGCACTGGGAACAGGGTGGAATTTCTCTTTTGATTGCTTCAATTTCCTCAAGTGAAATGGGGAACAAAGATCTGATAGATGGAAGAGGGAGTGTTGGAGGATTGACGAGAGGGAAAAGTATGGAATCATCTTTTAGGAGAATGGGGTGGTGAATGGACTTAGAAACATATGACTCATTTAAGCTGTGTTCTCATTACTTTAAAGCAGGGGTGGGGAACCTTTTTTCTGCCAAGGGCTATTTGGATATTTATAACATCATTCGCAGGCCATACAAAATTATTAACTTAAACATTAGCCTACTATATTTGGTTAAACATTTAATTAACTCACCTCTAATACCTTGGCAGGGCCAGGCCAAATGATTTCTCAGGCCAGACGTTCCCCACCCCTGCTTTAAAGGGAGACCAGTTAGCAGGCACTGAGTAGTGGAATGTTGGACCTACCCAAGATTGTGGTTCAGCCAGGAGAATAATTATATGTGCAGGGGAATAATATGTGCAGGGGAATAATTATCATGGTTGCCTGTGGAATGGACATTGGGTACAGAGAGGGAAAAGGACATGAGGAGGGATGAGAACAGGATAGGGTTGTAGAATCAATGGAACACAGGTCAGTAGGAATGAAGGGCTGTTGAAGTTGGGAAACTATAGGGAGTGAAAAGGCTGGTAGGAGGTGGTGGGGAGAATGAGGTGTTTGCTCTTTGTGTGTTCATCTTCCTTTTGGAAAGAGGGGAGGTCACGGTTCGAGACAGAACTCAATTCTAGGTCCTCTAATATATCATAATAGTACCAAAATGGGATTATCAACCCTAATACCAATGCACCTTCCAATGTAAAGAAAAAGTAAACTGTTTTAGCCTAGGTTTAACATTTAGCATATACTAGAGGCCTGGTGCATGAATTTGTGCACTGGTAGGGTCCCTCGGCCTGGCCTGCGGGATTGGGCCAAAACCAGCTCTCCGACATCCCCTGAGGGGTCCCAGATTGCAAGAGGGTGCAGGCCAGGCTGAGGGACCCCACCAGTGCACAGTTGGCACTGGGGAGGGACACGGGAGGGCTCCAGGGCATGTCTGGCCCATCTTGCTCAGTCCGGATTGGCCGGACCCCAGCAGCAAGCTAACCTACCAGTCTGAGCGTCTGCCCCCTGATGGTCAGTGCACGTCATAGCGAGCGGTTTAGCGGCCTTAGCATATCGTTAGCAATAGCTTTGATTGGTTGAATGGACAACTGGATGACTGGACACTTAGCATATTAGGCTTTTATTATATAAGATGACTGTAGTGGGATCTGTGAAAATATGTAATTTATGTATGGCTAATGAAAGAGATAAAACTTTGGAGAAGGCAGAACAAGGTTGTCTGGCAGTGTGATGAATAAAAAGGTCCTTTCTAGAAGCTCACACATTCTCCACAACAGCCATACAACCCTTTCACACAGCATAGCCTATTGCCTCAAAGAGTCCCACACTGCCCATTGTACTTAGAATTAATCTACCTTCTTAGCCAGGCCAGTAGGCCACCAAAACAGCCAATGCCTCAGCTCTAGCCTCCTCACATGCCTGATCCCCTCCCTCCTGTGCTCTACTCAGACCTTCTTACAGTATGATTTGTCCTGCCCCAGGTCTTTGTCCTTGCTATTCCTCCTTCCTGATTCCTCTTCCCCCAGATATTTTTGGGCTGGATTCCCTCTCAATACTTAATCCTCAGATCACATGGTCTCCCTGCTTGCTAAGGCCTTCCCTGACCACTGTTTCCAAAATTGTCCCCTACCCATGTCACTGCCATATCACCCACCTTGGTTCCTCTTTACCACAGTCAGCAAGTGATTGTCCTTTATTTATGTGTTAATTGTCCTACTCTCAGGGGACTGAGGGGGTGGAGACTATGTGTGTCTTGTTGCTGCAATAACCCTCTACCTCGACTAGTGCCTGCCCCATACTAGGTGCTCAATATATATTTATTGCATGGATAAAGGAGCCCAGGGATATCTATTTTTAAAATGGACTCATCAGCCAGGTGTAAGAAGCACGTGTAGGGTGCCCCTCCTTTGATTTTAAAACTGGGGCTCTGAAGGAGTCCATGATGTATGCACAATCACACAGAAGAAAGGGGCAAAAGTAGAACCAGGGTTTTCCCTGGACCATCATCTTGCCTCTCCCCAGGTGCCTTCAGTCTGCTGGGTCTGTAGGAGAGTGCTCCAAAAAGGGGCTGAACTTGAGTCCTTGGGGCCAGTGGGAATTTGCAATTCTAGTTCCAAATTCTGGCTCTTCCTAAATGCAGCACCCAGATGCTGGGAAAAAGGTGAAAGGACAAGAGGTTCATGGGGTTGGTGCCAGAGAGAAAGGTGGTGCACAGACACTACTCACCTGAGTGCCCCACTGGAGCCGTAGTATTTCTCGTGGCTGTTGGGAGCACACTTGTGGGCTGCATTGCTGCCGCCGCCGCACAGAGCACAGAAACTGGACTCTGGATCAGACCCAGGGGCACAGCTTTGACTGAAGAATTCACCTGTGCAGGAGGAAAAAGGAGGTCAGCTCTTCCCGCCTGTGTTAGCAAGAAAGCCTCAGGTTTTTGTCCCTAGAATTGACTGATGATGTAAAGACACATTCAGGTATCTGGTACCATATTATTCAAAATAGGAACCTTATGAAAAATTGTTTTAAGTTGCAGCTGGAGCAAAGTGAAGGGGGACTAGCTGAAGTTGGGGCAAGGGTCTGTGAGTTCACAAAAGCCCACCCTGTCCTGGCACAGGAAGAGCGGGCATAGATTTAATCCTAACAGTGGACAGAATTGGAAAATATGTCCCACTGTTTTCCAACTTCTGCTGCCCTGCCCTCTTTACAGGGTCTGCCATCATGACTCCCAAGTCCAAGAAAGGGCCCGAGAGGCCCAGCCACCAAGCCCTGTGCTGGGCTCCAGGGCACCACAGTGAGGACCTACCCTCCTGAACCCAAGTCTATGAGGCAGCAGTCATAACCCAAGAAATCACACAGTGAATTTGTTTCTCCCCTTGCTCCGGGGGGAAAAATACAATCCCACAGGCCGCAGATAAAGAAACCCCGTGCAGACCTGGGAATCAGAAAGAGGCCTCAAGTTGAGAGTTGAAGAATGAATAGGAATTACCCAAGTAAAGGGCAAAGGAAGCAGCATCTGCAGAGGCCTAGGGCAGGGTTTGGGGGTGAGAGGCAAACTGCCTAGAGAGCTTAATGGAGGCCACTGGGGCTGGACCACCCACAGCAAGAGTGAGTAGGGAGGAGCAGGGATCCAGACCACATGTGACCTTCTACACTTTGGTGTAGATTTTGTTCTTTATTGTTAGAGCAATAGGGAGCTTCTGAAGGGCTTTAGACAGTCCTGGCCAGGACATAATCAGATCTGCTCTTTGCAAAGAATGGTCTGGCAACAGGGTGGGTGGAATCAAGGGCAGATGTGGGTGCATGCAGCAGGCTACTGCAGTGGCCAAGGAGAGATGAGGGCAGCTTGGACTAGAGTAGCACAGCGGGGAGGAAGGGAGGTGGAGAGGAGAGAAACTGACATCACTAGTGATGGATGGGTATGTGGAGGATGGCAGCTCCCAGGTTCCCCGCTGGGACAAGTGGATGGACTGTGGAGTCCTCCACCAAGCTAGGCAGCTCAGGGGCAGGACCAGGCTCGGCAGAGATGATGTATTCCATTTGGGGCAGGTTGAGCTTAATGTGCTTTTGAGATATCTAAGCAGATAATGTCAAAGAGACAGTTCATATATACTGGTCTGGAGGTCAAGGAGAGATCTGTGCTAGGGACAAAAACTTGATAGTATCAACATATAGACATAATATTAATAGCAGCAAACATTTATCTAGTGCTTGCTATGTGCCTAACTCGCTACATACAATATTTGTTTAGATGGCAGTCAAGGCTGTAGGCATGGGTTTGGGGGGTGGGGTGGGGGTTGCTTTCAGCAACTCAAACATTTATTAACCAGGTTGGGAAAGGGGGACTTTGAAGGGGTAGGAGAAACACCAAGCTAGTGTGTGTCCACAAAAGCCAGGAGATAAGTGTTTTAGGGTGATCTGAAGAAAGAGAGGTCATGTAGAAGAGGACTGGAGCATGCCCTTCCAGTTAAGCAACAGGTAGGTCATGCAGCCTTGACCACAGTTCTTGGTGTGGAATGATGCAGAAAGCCAGAGGGCAGGGAGTGAGTGGGAGGTGAGTGGCTCAGGCCAGTCTTTTAATAAGCCTGGGAGTAAAGGGGCAGAGAAAGAAGACAGGAGCTGGAGGAGAATGTTGGGAGAGGGGGGATTTGTAAAAATGGAAGACACTGGGTGTGTTTACATGTTGAAAGAAACTGTTGGATATACCAGAGGGAGAAGTACTGACTGAGGGTATGAGGCTCTGCAGAGGGGAACAAGGGAGGGGCCCACACCCGATTACTGGTAGAGGGATTGGCTGGGCTGTGGAGGGAGGCTGAGCAGATACAGCTATCAGGAGGCCACAGCTTTGGCGTTGGAATGTCGAGGGGGGGCGGGGACCCTTTCTGGAGGTTTCAATTGCCTATTGCAGGTGCAGATGAGATCATCTGCTGAGAAAAGGTGGTAGATGGGTGTGGGGTGGGGGTGTGTGGACAGTTAGAACATTGGGATAATTATTGGGAAGTGCAGGGATGTGGAGCAGAGAAGCAGTGGGAGTGCTCCTGAGTGCTGAGGCCAGCATCTGGGGCATTTCCAGTGGAAGGAATTGTTCCACCCCGGGACATTTCCAGCCATGCTCAGCTGCTCAGGTGCAGAGGGAGAAGAGAGCAGGTGGTGGGGTTCACACAGGGCTGGGATGTGTCAGGTGGCTGGGGAAAGCAGGGGAGCAGAAGCCGTTTAGGTATAGCAAGAATGTTGCTAAAATGACTAATACTGGAACCTAAGAAACATGAGGATGAAAGTGAAAGTTAAAGCACTTAAGGACCTCCTGGTGTAAGGTTTTCAATTTTAAAAAGCAGCCAGTTTGTTTGGGAAAATAATGCACACACACCCACTCTTGCATTGCAACCCCGGGGCCTGTTCCCTGAGCCAGCTGCGTGACATAAAGACCTTTCCCCAAGGTCTGCCCTTTGGGCCAAGCCTCTTCCTTGGAGGCAAGGAGGTGAGGAGAAAGGGGAGGACTTGCTTAGGGACATGTGAAGTTCACCCACAGTTTGTCCAGCCCCTTTATGCCATCCCTTGCTATTCATTGAACTGAATTTGTCCCTTACACAGACACAGGCCCAAGGAAGGGGCTGCCAAACCACCTCCCAGAACACACTTACCAAATTTGCAGGACCCCGTTTGGTTGTATATCAAGCCCATGGGGATGTTCCAGCCCGCAGAAGTGCCAACTGCGGTGTGGCAGGACTTCTTGCCTCGCAGAGAGTTCCAGGTGAGGTCGGCATCTGATTTCTTAACCACTGCCACAGCGTAGTGGCCTTGCAACAGAGATACCAAGATCAATTTCAACAGCTCCAGGGCCCTCGTAGAGCTGCTGCAGCTAGCCCCTGCCTGCCACTCTCTCCAGGGAGGGGGAATCGGTTGAATCCCTTACCTCACTCTAGCAGAAGCCCCTGCAAATAACTGTCATTGTTAGTACTGGGCCAAACAGAATGACACTCCTGCTCCCGATGTGTCTACATACAAACATCACAAGTATTTACACACACACTTCATACTTCTTCACCTGAATCCTGCTGTACATTCTTTTCTGCGAGTTACTTGAACCTTTTTAAAGATCTACTGTGGACCTTTTTGATTCAGTAGAAATCAATATAGCTCTCTCATGCTATTTATTGGTTGACTCTAAGTTATGTTCCACTGTGTGGAAGAACGTATTTTATAATCCCCCTACTGGTGGGCATTTACATTGTGACCCATTTTCCCCTAAATCTTTGTACATATGAGTGTGTTTCTGTTTAAATATTTCTATTGAATAGAAGTCCAAAAGAAAGATCTTTAATGACTTCTTTTATAAGGTTAAGTCTCTGATTTTCTAGGTTCACAATAACATTTTCTAATAATGATAATTTAATTTCTCATTCCCTAATATTAAACATATATATCTTAAATATATATATTTTTAACTTACTGCATTCACTTCCAAAATAATGCCAAATATATTTGGTGGGAGTGGGCCTTCTTGTCTTGTTCCTGATTCTAATGGGAGCACCATTGATATTTCATGGATTCCTATCCCAAAATTATGTAACTGAATTGTGCTTATTGAGTACGGCCTAAACTGCAAAGCTGAATTTATAATAAGATTGGAATTATAAATCTGCAGAATTAGAAGAGAATTTGTGATGGAAGGAGACTTGACTTGGGGTGGTGAACACAAAATACAATATACAGATGACGTATTATAGAATTGTACACAGAACAGTGGCCCCATCTTTGGAGTCCAACTCAGTAGATGTGGGGTGGGGTCCAAGAATTTTCATTTCTAATAAGTTCTCAGGTGAGGCTGATGCATCTGGTCCAGGTACTACACTAGATGCTTTAGCTAATGCCCAAGATCAGTACTTCACAGACAGATACAGACCCTCTCTGCCTATGTGGAGACACAGATGGGAGAACTTGTCACCTGCTCTCCTATTCTAAAAATGAGATTGACTCCCCTGCTATTCAAATCCAGCTGGCTAAAATCTAAGAGTGATTTCATTTTCCTCCTCGTCTTCATTAACAACAAGCCCCAGACAAGTCAGGAATGGGCTCCTGCCCCAGTGCAGACCTTCGTGCAGAGGTGACAAGGAGCAGTGTGGTTGGTCAGGAGGGGCCCAGGGTTCCAGTCAGGCCACCTCTTCTCAAGCCCAGGTGCAGCCACTTCCTGGCTGTGTGGCCCTGAGCCTCACTTTCCCATCTACATAATATGGGACAATGATGCCCACATACTAGAGGATTGCTGAGGAAAGCAAACAGGAATAGTGCAAGCAGGAGACCTGTCAACTGTAGAGTACCCTATGAATAGTCATTATTATTACAGCTTCAGGATAGATTTGCTCTCTAACAAGTAACTGTGGTGTCATCATCTCCTTAATTTTTGTTACAACTCTAGTAACTTTTGTTTATTTTTAAGGTTTTCCTCACCCTTTTCCTAAGAACAGGCCTTTACCTTTGAACCCCAGTGTTACTGATTCTAACTCACCTTCCATCAGTATATTTTCACACCTAGACCCAAGCTGCTCTTTGCTATCTTGGGACACTAAAAAGAAAAAGAAAAACAATTGAGGTATATGGCATTAAATTCCCACAAGCTCATCCCAAAGACATGAGGTGTTCAATCATAAGAGTTAAGAGTAAAATAAAGAGAAACACCAACTAAGCAGGTTTTCATTGGTCATTAACAAGCTAAAATTCTGCAGTCCCATTTTACCCCCTCTTCCCCTGATCTTTGCCATTTGAACTTCAGGTTTCATCCCAGAATCTCCCCAGTACTTAGACAGATGCAGAGAAAGAAAATGAGATGCCCTTTCAAAGGGACCACTGAAGATCTTGACAAAGATTGTTTTGCATTTCCTATGGGATCAAGTCATCCTGAAATCTTTCCTCGTTATATTCTTGCTATATTAGAGAACAAAGAACCAATCCATAGAGTCAGAAAGACCTGGATGCAGTCTTTATTCTACCTTGGACACAGCATTTAACTTTTCTAAGCCTTAGTTTTTACATCTATAAAATGGACATACCACTATTTGTGTTACGGAGTCGTTTTGTTTTGAAGGATAATGCGTGGTTTCTTGCTCACTGCCTAGCAGATGAGGTGTTTAACAAATGATACTGGTGAAATCCTCTTCTCCGGCCTTATTTTTTCATTTGGATAGATCCCCACTAAAGAACGTGACCTTGCAGCCCCACCCTCCAGTCTTCCAGTGCCGCTGGCATGAGTAAATTTTGGATTAGTAAATTTGGCACAAGGATCTAGGGCACATGTGGCTCAGCCCCTTCTTTCATTATTGAGGATAGTGGGGAGAGGGTGGTTTAGAGCTTCTCACCTCTGACAGAATGTTTTCCTCGGCCCTCAGCCATAGGCTGAGCCAGCCGACCTGTTCTCCTGAATTAGTGGGCAACTCTTAACTCAAGGGCATTTTGGCAAGCACTGCAGCCAACTCTACACCATGCCCTCCCATATCGCTATTCTCAGTAATGAAGGTGCTATTTTTACCTCTTTTTGCCTAAATCTTACATCTATGTCTTAATTGGTCCAGACATTCTGAAAACTGGATGTTATCTACTAGCTTCCTACACTTCAGCAATAGTTATTATCTCAACAATGAACCAAATTATTTCCTTATCTCTAAGTCCATGGCCCAGAGGGAATAAAACAGCCAGAGACACTTCCCTCCACTTACTGTAGTTCTCTGCCAGGACAGGGACCAGACCGCACTTGCCCGCCGTGTAGATAAATCCTCCATCTAAGCTCATGGCATCAGCGTCTCCTTTCTGAGGTTAGGAAATAAATCAGTGGCAAAACAGTGAGCTTGTTACCCTGTCTCACTGACCCTCAGAGGTCTCCAATTCACTGGCTTCATGTCACATGTCCTTGTGATTAACCAAATCATGGCTCACCCAAAGCTTCTGCCACGTAAACACAGTTTTAGAAAACTGGACATGCATTTGGCCTGTTAACCCAGGAGAAAGAGCCCAACCCAGGTCAGGCTCCCGGCCTCTCCTGAGATCCATGCCCTCATAGTGCTTTCACTATACCACTATCGCTCAACAAGCCACATGCCAGGCTCAGTGACTGCATTTATCTGCTTCTATGGAACACGTTTTCTTTTGTGTGGCAGAGTTCAGTTCTGGTCCCATAACTCTGTTGGCAGTGTACTTAGAGCCCTGGCACAGCAAAGATTTCAGTACATAATTAATGTCTCTACTTAAATAATTAATTACAGGCATACCTCAGAGATACTGTGTTTTAGTTCCAGATCACTGCAATAAATCAAATATTGCAATAAAGCAAGTCACACGAATTTTTTGGTTTCCCTCTGCATATAAAAGCTATGTTTACATTATACTATAGTCTATTAAGTGTGAAGCACATCATTTCTAAAAAACAATGCACATACCTTTATTTAAAAATACTTTATTGCTAAAATAAATGGTATCATCTAAGCCAGTGATGGCGAACCTATGACACGTTTTTTTTTTGGTTGATTTTTCTTTGTTAAATGGCATTTAAATATATAAAATAAATATCAAAAATATAAATCTTTGTTTTACTATGGTTGCAAATATCAAAAAATTTCTATATGTGACACGGCACCAGAGTTAAGTTAGGGTTTTTCCAAATGCTGACACGCCGAGCTCAAAAGGTTCGCCATCACTGATCTAAGCCTTCAGCAAGCCTTAATCTTGCCTTTAAAAAAAATCTAGTATCTACAAAGTGCAATAAAGCAAAGCACAATAAAATGAGGTATTCCTGTAATAATTAATGTATAGTTTTAATTGATAAATTTTTCCAACAGAGCATAAAATGCACACTTACAGTCACAGATAAGGTCATTAGAAAGAAACACACAGACACACACATACTCTTTGCTTTTGACCTGCTAACTGCCTTTCTAGAAATCTGTAAAAAAAAAATCTACTACTTAAGACAGTAGTAACTCTAGAAGGAAAAACTTGCCAAGCCCCTATATGTGTCAGGACCTTTTCTAAACACTTTGCAGTGGTTACTTCATATATTCCTCATAAAATCCAATTAGGTAGGTTGTATAATTTTCCCTTATTAATACATTAGTAAACTGAAGCAGAGAGGGGTTAAATAATTTGTCCAATAGATGGTCACCAGGACTTAAACTTAGGTAGTTTAATTCCTTAACTTTTGCTCATAACCACTATATCACACAGTCTCTGGGATCTGACTACTCCAAGGGATACATCCCTAAATACTGTTCTACACACATTATTTCATCTATAAAATGGGTGAAGCTCCTACCTTATAGGCTTATCATGAGGATTAAATGAGTTAGTGCAAGTTAAGAGGTCATAAATATTAGCTGTCATTAGTATTAAAGGCATACTCAGAAATACTGATGATTAAAGAACAAAAAATCTTCATTCCCATATCTATAATAGCAAAAGATCTGGAGATAATTCAAATATAGACATTTAGAAATTAGTTAAATAAATTGAGGCAGAAATACTTGGTAGAATATTATGCAGCAATTAAAACATTTTAAATGAATACTTCATTACCTTAGAAAGTGCACCAACTATGCTCAAGAATTTAAGTAATTATAACAATAGCTAATATTTATTTATATGCCAGGTAATGTTATGAGCAATCAAATTAATTTAATCCTTATCATTGACAAAGTTAGGAGGCTGTAGAAATTGCAAGATCTTAATCTTATGGGTTGGTCCCAGGTAAATTTACCAAAATTAGGATCTTCTTTCCTAAGAAAGAATGTATGTCTCCAAAGTTTGTCAATTTTTCGGTCCTTTATCATTTTTTTTCTAATCACAAAAGTATTATCTGTTCATAGAGAAACAGAAATGAGCTTCATAACTCAAAAATTATGTGGTAATTATTTCTGAGTTATGAAGTTGTGAATGATATTATTTATTTCTCTTCTAAAGTAAAATATTTTTATCACCAGAAAAAAATTAAACGTTCAACTAAAGGACTGAAAAGGTTGATTTGCTTTCACAATCCACAAGGGCCCTGACCATGCCCTGGGATGTCATCCCACTTCCCACAGGCCCTAGGCAGGACACCATTCAGAGCTCCCTGGTCACCAGAGCTGAGCACCACATGAGTTTGAGCCTTGGGAATGCTCTTTGTTTCTGCCCAGCCCTGAGCAGGGGTCCATGGGATGGAGTGGGATGGGTCTTTGGAGAGTGGGAAAGATGCAACACAACAGTTGCATCTCAGCCTCACGGCTGATGGGAAGGTGTCTGGGAAATCTCCGCAGAAAGGCAACATGTGTGGGTGTCTGAACTCAGCTATGGAGGCAGGGCCTTCCTTACCACAATGGCAGCAATGCAGTCCTCAGTGGTCTTCTTCGTGGTGCACTCTAAGATGCCACCACTCACGATAGTCCACTCGCTACACTTGGCACTCTCATGGTGGCCCACTGCACACCACTTCACCGTCTGTGAACCTTTCCCACCTAGGAAAGAGAAGAGCCAGGGATCCAAAGGAAGCTCCAAGATAGGTTTGGGAGTTTAGTGCCACCAGCTACAGAGTGGCTGCCCAATGAGGTCCTCATCGACATCAGCAGAGTCACATGCCCATATCACCACTCATTCCTGCCTATCACCCCCCGGAGAAATGACAACTCAGTTCTCAGAAAGAACAGTGAAGGCAGAGCAACCCTAACGTCCCTCCTGACCTCACCTTCTCAGCATCACCTCCCCCGGGAAGGCCTCTGAGCCCTCTCTTACAGGACTGGGTTCTCCCATCCAGGGAGCGCTCCCCGGGGGGTAGTCATGTGTTCTGCTCTCAGTGGGCCTGCTTGCTCTCCTGTTGCGCAGTCTTTGCTCACCACGGTATGCCCACATCTAACACAGTGGCTTTGTAGTTGCTCAATAACTATTGGTTGACTAAATGGAGGGGGTGGGGGGGGGGAGAAGGAAGGAAGAAATGGACCATAGGAATTTGGAGGAAGGCAGGAGCTGAATTAAAACCCTCTAAAATTCTAGTTCTCCTGAATTAGGTGGCAGAGGCCATGTCCCCACTTCAGGTTAGGATGGGCTATTTCCCCTGTCAAATACTAGTAGACCTGTTGTTGGGTGGGGCAACTCTGGTTAATACAAAGAAGCCAGACCTTCATTAATTCAAGTGGTCCGTAATCTAAAGGTAAGTTAGGTCTTCTCCCCAGCTCAACAGAAACTCCCCTCATTAAAACCCAGTGCAGTTGGTACTCCCCTGAGCTCTGCAGGCCAGTGAAGGCTGGGTCAGGTGAGGCCTGCGGGTACCAGGAAAGCCTCTATGAGTCCCACCCTGCCCGCTGCCCTGCCAGGACTTTACACACCTCCCCTTAGAGACCGAATGGCAGCTAAATGTTCATGTCCCAGGTACAGCATGGCATCCATCTTAGATGGGACTTTTAAAAACCCATGGGCGGCGTCTGTAAACAGCAGGTCCTTCTTGTAAGGAGAGCCAAAGAGCTGGAAGTCTGCTGACGTGTCTTTTCCAAAATATTCCTGTTAGAAGGACAAACGAGACAGTGAAGGAGGGAAGCTGGCATAGAGAAGCGAAGGGAAAACAAACCCCCACCATTTAAGAACAGAAAGGGAAAAAAGAATGAGTGCCTGAGAGAGAAGACAGGGCCCAAGGCCCTCAGAAGTCCCTGGGGCTCATGGGGTTCTCAGGTCTCCCTCCATGGAATGCTTTACTCAAATCCCAGCTTGTTTGCCTGGTGCAGACTCGGGGAAACTGCAGGGGCTGCCCCTCAGATCTGTACAAAGGGGTTTGGGGTCGTCATGTGCCAGGCAACTGCCCCTCTCCAATGCCGTGTTCCCGTGGGCAGTCAGTGAAGGCTGCCGCTGTCCTGGCCGCCTGATTCTCCAAGTGGCTCCGGTGCTCTTCATCCTGAGTAGCTGGGGATCCAGCACTCTGCCATCGAGGCTGGAGGTCAGGAGTCCTGGGCCAGCCCCCCACCACTGAGGATCTCAAGCAGTCCTTTCCCCCTTCAGGCAAAAACAAAGGGCCCTTTACCTATGACTCCCACTGACTGGCCCAAAGCTGTTCCTGGCTGTACCTGACAGCAGCACCTACTCACACACTTTCCAGTGTCTGGCTGCTTTTTCTTTTGCAGTGGCTCTGCATAAACTGTCACCCGCTGCTTTCTCTGGCAAACCTCCGTACTTCCTTGGGGTGCACACAGCTTATTCCCTGGGGTCCCAGAACCTTCCCAGATGCATCCTGCAAATCAGTCCTTCTGTCCTCCGGAAAGTACATAATCCATGTCCCCAAGGTTGTGCCATCCCACCTCCTGATAATTTGTATGTGTCCACATTTCTCTGTGAGCAACTCAAGGGCAGGTCTTTGTCTAGTTCATCTCTGAACCCCCAGTGCTGAGCAGAGAGCACCAACAGGGATGGGTGATGAATGATGGCTGGCTGGGAGAGAATGCCACCAACGCAGGACAGAGAGGAATGCTCGCCGAGGGTTACTGCACCTGAGGGAAGTCAGGAGGGCAGGGTCACATGCCAATAGGATAACAGGGGAACACCTCGTGGAGGGGGGACACCTGCATCCACTTAGAACGAAAAGAACACACTGGGGCAACGAGGAACTTCTGCAGATTCTTTGGCCCACCACGTCAGTGATGCCAGGCGAGGGTTTTATGGCCTCTGCTGCCTATAACATATACAGACTGAGTGGCTTGTCAGTGAAGAGGATGATGTGTGGTGTGGCTCCTGCCGTGATCCACAGGACTGCCAGAGTGGCAATAAGAGAGTAAAGGAAGGTGCCTTGAATCCAAGCAGCGACTCCTAAGCAGGAAGGAGGACAGTGGATTTGGTACCTGGGCCTGGTTGAGAAGCTCCCAGATCAAGTCCTCCTTGCCACCTACACTTCGGGCCACAACGGCATGGGAAGGGACAGCGGCCAGGTGGCACTCCTCATATTTGTCTACTGGCTTCCGGGTGTTGTCCCTGCAGAGGAGCTCGTACTGGTCCCCGTCAGCCTGGCGTGCAAGGTTCTCTGGGGGAAGAAAGCCCAAAGGAGCCAACAGACTGTAGGCAGAGACATCAGCTATGGTCCCCCTTTCTCACTAAAACACACACTACCTGACCTTGTTGAAATAACCTTCTAGGCCCAAGATGGAGCCGCTCCTGCCCAGGATGCCACGTCAACAAACCAAAACTTAGATAACTTTCATGTCCCTGTAATGTTCTGCGTGATCAGAAGCACAGTATCCAGCCAGTCCTCACTGCCAACCCAGCTCTGGGCTCTCTACTTCTTTCTTTGTTCCTTCTCAGCCCAAACAAGGTTGAGAGTGTGGCCCCAGCCAATGAGATGTTTCCTATGTGTCTCTTCCTTGTTTTTTATTCTTTGTCCTGTAAAAGCTTCCTGCTTTCCTCCCCATTTTGCAATTCTCCACATGGAGACTGCCCACTTCTTGAAGTGTTAATAACATTTGTTTATATCACCAAAACTGTCTTCTTCAATCATTCTTTTAACAACCCTAAGAGGACTGAAAGAGAATCTTTTCCAAATACATTTTCTACAGATGAGGGACCTGAGGTCTCGGGAGAAGAGATGATTGGGGAGACAGGGCTGGGAGGCATGCTTGGCCTGGAGCCCTCCCACTGCCCCTGTCCCTATGGCTCTGCTAATATGAAAGGTGACAGCAGATGTTTACCGAGCACTCACAGCACACCAAACACCGTGCTGAAGTCGCCCCGTGCTCTTTGTCATTAATCCTCATAGCAGCTGAAGGAGGCCGGTGATGTGATTATCCCACTCTATTTTTTTTTAATATATTTTTATTTATTTCAGAGAGTAAGGAAGAGGGAGAGAGAGAAACATCAATAATGAGAGAATCATTGATCGGCTGCCTCCTGCACACCCCTCCCCCGCTGGAGACCGCAACCTGGGCATGTGCCCTTAACCAGGATGCCACGTCAACCTGGGACCCTTCAGTCCTCAGGCCGACTCTCTATCCACTGAGCCAAACCGGCTAGGGCAACTATCCCATTCTAGAGAAAAGGAAATAGCCTCAGAGAGTTGAGGTAACTCATCAAACTTGCTAATCTGAGGCTGACATGTGGCCATGCTAGGATAATCCTGGTCTCCCCCTAAAGACAGAACCCACCAGAGAAAGGTGGTGGGGCAGGTAAGGGAGGGACAGGGGCCGAGGAAGCCGGGCAGGGCATTCTATAGCTACGGAGAAGGACCAGAAAACCTTGTAAGGAAAACAAGCTCTTTGGTTCTCCTCGTCTAGCTATTAGAAGGTGTTCTGGATTGAACTGTGCGCCCCCTGACCAGATTCACATGTTAAAGTCCTGATCCCCAGGACCTCAGAATGTGACCTTATTTAGAAATAGAGTCATTGCAGATGTAATTAAGAAGCAGTCATACTGGAGTGGGTAGGCCCTACTCCTATTATGACTGGTGCCCTTATCAAAAGAGGAAATTTGGACACCGACAGACATGGAGAGACAGAGATTGGGATAATGTAGTACAGGCCAAGGAACACCAAAGACTGTCAGCAAACTACTGGAAACTAGAAGAAAGGCATGGGGCAGATTTTCCCTCACAGCCTCAGAAGGAGCCAACCCTGCCAACATGCTGATCTTGGACTTTTGCCTCTAGAACTATGAGACAATAAATTTCTGTTGCTTAAGGTACTTTGTTATGGCAGCCCTATCAAACTCATACAGAAGGCCTTTGTGGTTGATAAATCTCCTATCAAAAGAGAAGGAAGTTGGGCTGGTATGGCTCAGTGGTGGAGCATTGACCCATGAACCAGGAGGTCATGGTTCCATTCCCAGTCAGGGCCATGCCCAGGTTGCAGGCTTGATCCCCAGGAGCGGGTGTGCAGGAGGCAGCCGATCCATGATTCTCTCTCATCATTAATGTTTCTATCTCTTTCTCCCTCTCCCTTCCTCTCTCTGAAGTCAATTAAAACATTTTTTTTAAAAAAGAAAGAGAGAAGGAATACAATTAGAGTTCTTGTGAATGTTACCATTTTAATTAGGAATGTCATAAAGAAAATACATTTTAAATATATTAAAATTTGTAAATGATTTAGTAATGTTAGAATTAAATTAAAAGACTCAATATGATCTAATAGTTTCAGAAAGAACTAACTTTTCCACCTCAGTCACTCACCATCCACACTCATTTTCATCCCTAAAGCCCAGTGGACACTCTCTCATAAACTTCTACTTTTAATAAGGGGTCTTGTATAATAGCAGACAAGTGGCTTTCAGCAAAGATAATCAGGATGGTCTAACAATGGTCGGCAAACTGCGGCTCTCGAGCCACATGCGGCTCTTTGGCCCCTTGAGTGTGGCTCTTCCACAAAATACCGACTTCTGCGCATGGGCCACGAAGTTTCAGTCGCACTGTACATGCGCGCCCGCACATGGTATTTTGTGAAAGAGCCACACTCAAGGGGCCAAAGAGCCACATGTGGCTCGCGAGCCGTAGTTTGTCGACCACTGGTCTAGGACAACCTGTTGTTTTCGGAAAGTGAGGATGTTTTAAACACTTTAGGGTGAGTGTTAGAAGGTGCTGCCCTCTAACATAATTGTGGTAACTTGAGCAACCAGAGGATATAACAGTGACAATTATTTGGAACAACTTGATCCTGGGAGATGAAACCCCTAGATGACCCCACTGATTAAAATTACTGATAATAAGACATGCATCACTTACCAAAATGCTAACAAACCTGGTCAATGTGTAGTAATGAGGAGACAGTGAATTGTGAATGGCTGAACAAGAGAACAAAACAAGGGAAACTCCTATTTCATGTAAGAGAAAAACTAGGTTATGAGGAGCGAAGGCCCATGTAGAAAGCAAGCACTTAAAGTTTTCCTTGAGGTAGCAGACATGAATCTTAAAATGAATTTAGCACAGTGATTATATACTTGGTTTTAAACATCGTGAGTGATACAAGTGTGTTCTATAGCTGAAAGAAATTCAATCGGTTATAAAAGCCAAAGTCTGTACCCTCATCTTGTCTGAAAAACTTTTTTGTTATTTTTTTGTTTGTGATAAATTACCCAAAACCCTGAAAAGGTGTTTGTTTGTTTGTTTGTTTGTTTAAATATAGAAACAAAGAAGAAATTATTGTCCGTAGTAATAATGCTTTTGCAATAGACTTATTATATGTGTGCTAATAAGTTCTGAAATCATTATGATAGTGTGGGTTTTGCTGCAGATATTTGAGCATTTGGGAGCCATTTGTACTGAGGCATTCAGAAGAACGTGATTAAATTTGAAATTGGTATTTCAGTGACTGGGATAATTTGATTATTGAAACTCATTTTGTTTTACTAGTTAAGCAATGTTTAAATATTCAGGAAATCTGTTTAGTAGAGTTATAGACTGAACAAATTGAGCACTTAAACAATGTACAAATAACAAAAATGTGTTTTATACAGAAACCCTCCTATTTCATTAAGATCTTGTCATCACCCATCTCTAGATGTAGGAAAACTTTGAGGCAAAATCAGTTCCCCTGGCCAGGGTGCAACGCACGTGATTCCTCCTCCGCCCAGCACTTACCTGACACAGTCATATGTCTCACGAAGCCCACATCCCCCGCTCCATCCTGCAGACACCTGAGGAACAGGACAGCTGCAGTCAGGGCACTCTCCAGGACAGGGCCTTGCCCTCCCCGTGCAGACCCTCTGAGGTTCTGCCCCGGCCACAGGCTCACAGAGCTGTGCCATTTCCCAGACTTCCATCTGTCCTCACAGAGGTGATGGCCCTGTGTGAGGGGCATCTGAACCCCCACAGCCAAGCCGAGGGCTGAAGCAGGTAGAGCCCTGTAGCCACATCCCAGGCAACTCTGGGGAGGGATGGTGTGAAAGTAGGACCCTCACCTTCCTCTTCAAAAGCAGCCAAAAGCAATAGATTTTTTTAAAATAAAGGTTTAAATGTAGGATCAAAACTCTGGATAGCCTTGGATCCCTGGCCTGGTTTTGAGTGGTAGCCATTTCCCTTACTGAACATGGAGTAGGGAGAGATGCCTTCACAGGGCTGAGAGGGAGGTGGGGAGAGGCAGGCACATGTGTCCCAGACACAGGGAGATGCTCAGGCAGAAAGAAGCAAACTGGGAGATCCTGGCCTTTAATCAGATGGGAGCCCAAGCCTTTGTCTGTGGATCCCAGAGTCCCAGAGTCCCTCCACCCTCCAGGAGGGTCCAGAGGGTAACATAGACCCCAGACTCTGGGAGACGAGAGGGGCTCCCACAAAAAAGACTGCTCCTCAGGATGGTTAGGAGGCACTCAGAACCTGGGTTTCACACTGACCCTCTAGGGCAGTGGTTCTCAACCTTTGGGCCTTTTAAATACAGTTCCTCATGTTGTAACCCAACCATAAAATTATTTTCATTGCTACTTCATAACTGTAATGTTGCTACTGTTATGAATCATAATGTAAATATCTGATATGCAGGATGGTCTTAGGCGACCCCTGTGAAAGGGTCGTTCGACCGCCAAAGGGGTCGCGACCCACAGGTTGAGAACCGCTGCTCTAGGGGGTCTGGGACAGCCCTGCCTAATCCCTGTGCTTTCGTTTCACCATCTTCAGAGAAAGCGGGGGAGGAACAGGGAGTCTCACTCACTTGAAGGCACCCGAGTAGCCAAAGTACGGTTCATGGTGGGAGTAGGCACACTTGTCTTTCCCTTTCCCAGCACACAGCTGACACAGTTTGGGGAAGGCTGTCCCATCCGCACCGGGGACACAGCTGGCAGCGAAGAAATTGGCCCCTGCTGCTCAAGACAGAGATGTGGAATATGAGCCAACCTGGCCAAAGACAATTACAGCTCCCAACCCAGGCTCCTGAGTGACCAGAGAGTGACCAGAACAAACCCAGCATACCAGGCCCAGCTTGCCCATATGTGTGTTCACTGGTCAAGATCAAGGTTTCCAAAATGGGACATGTTAACAACTATTCGCCCACCGCCCTCCCGAAGGCCCAGGCCTATGCCTGCCTCCAACCAAGGCCTGTCTTAGGTCACTGTCAGCCCCCTCCCTGCCTTGTCACACTGGAACAGCTCAGAGATAAGTCTTCCCTGGAAGTCATGCCCAGGAGATGACAGACCCACCTGGACAGGTGCATGCCAGGCTCATGGCCAGCAGATGGCCACCAGAGAATGCTCCAGCAGGAAGGGAAACAGAAAGGAAGTGGGCAATAGGCCCCACTGACCTTGGTCCTGCCTGAACCCTCTGTCTGGCCTGATGCCCTTCCCTGCCCACTCCTCCAGGCAGCCTCTGCTGAGGTATCAGGAGCTCAGAGAAGAGAAGACTCAGCCGAACCCTCCCAAGGGCTGCCAGTGTTGCAGACCCAACCAGTTTAAAGCTGGTTAACCTCTCACCTCCACCCCAAGAATCATCACACATGACCACCTGATCATGTCTGAGTGACCTCAGGGTGGCCTTTATGGCACCTAAAGAAGGGACGTCTGCCCGAGGGCACACAACCTCCTGCCTGCTTACCTTTCTGAAGAGATTCCTGTGGCTCAGGCAATTCAGAATAGAGTGTGCCCATGGGGATGTTCCACCCAGCGGACCTGCCAAGGCCTGTGTGGCAGGACTTCTTGCCTCGAAGCTCATTCAGCTGGAAGCCACTGCCCTTCTTCACCACGGCCACAGCATAATAGCTGGTTTGTGGTTCTACAAAGAGACATGTGAATGGAAGACCCACAACCTGGGCCTCAGGGAAACATTGCTCATCGCTGCTGGGTTCCTGACTAGGGAAGGGGAACCCACAAGCCACACTTATGTTGGGTTGGGTCCTAAAGAAGGAGAGATCAGAGTAACTTCCCTAGGTTTGCCGGGAAGAAGAAAAGGACCAGAGAGGGGACATTCGTATAACCCTCCAGGCAAACACTGGCCAGAAGGCCACAGGCACATGATTTTTCCTACCCTGGCCCTGCAGGTTGTCTGCCTACATCTATCAACCCAAGCCTACCTGGAAACCAGAGGTCACATTCCTGACTCCCTCTAAGTATTTCCTAGAACCTAGGGACACAGGCCCAGAGATAGTCAGGTTACTCTCAGAGTGTGTGGTCTTTCCTCTGAGTGAAGCACCTGTGGTTCATGGAGGACTCTCTATATAGCTCTAAACTGGAATGATTGAGGTCAGGCTATACCAGTGATGGCGAACCTATGACACGTGTGTCAGAGGTGACACGTGAACTCATTTTTTTGGTTGATTTTTCTTTGTTAAATGGCATTTAAATATATAAAATAAATATCAAAAATATAAGTCTTTGTTTTACTATGGTTGCAAATATCAAAAAATTTCTATATGTGACACGGCACCAGAGTTAAGTTAGGGTTTTCCAAAATGCTGACATGCCGAGCTCAAAAGATTCGCCATCACTGATATAGAGCATGACTCTATAGAAATCACTGAGGAAAATCATTTCCTGGCCCAGGAGGTCAGTGCCAGCAGCACCAGTCCTCAGCCAGCCCAAAGCCACAGAGACCTTGAGTTCTGCCTGTGGGGGCTTATAGGGCACCACATTGCCCACTCATTCCTCCATTACCTGCCTAAATAAGACAAGAGTCTACTGGGAGAGAACAAGGGCCTATCAGGAGAGAACAACAGCCACAAACCCTCTCCCGGGTCCCCAGGGAGAACTCACACTCTTTTGACCCGTAGTACTCTGCCACTACAGGTTTCAGGTTGAAGGGGGCTCGGCCCGCGTCAAACACCAAACCTGCATCCAATGTCACAGCATCTGCTTTGTTTTCCTGAAAAGGAACAAACCAGACACCAATGAAGTCCTCAATTCCAGGAAAGACCACCTAAACTGAGGTGAGTGATGGTGACTTTTGGGGCCAAAAAAGCCATCATCTTGGTCAGACCACACACTAATCCGTTTCAGTTGACTCCACCACCCCAGTGGGGGAGTTTGGCCACCATATTCCTATTCCTCCAACATAGAGGAAGGAATGCGTTGGTTTTCTTTTTCCTGGTGAGGAGTCTGGTTCTTGGCTCAGAAATCTGTGTGTGATCTTTTAGGATCAACCTGAGCTACAGAGGCTTTACTCGCAGGCCTCATGGTGGAAAGCTGCCCTCCGCACACCAGGCTGGGTGCACAGCCCAGGCACTGCAGGCTCTAAAGGAGGTTGCAGTCAATCACTCAGGCCCCCCCTGCCCGGCCATGCTTTTACATGTGTACATTGAGAACCCAGGTGCTGTTGTTTGGTGACCTCTTTATCGTGGGCCCTCTGCTGAGGCCTTTTCAGGCGTCGCTGTGCAGCCCTCCTTATGGGGGAGTGGGGCTTTGATGATACTCTTTTCCACTCTGATTCAGTACTCAGTACTCTTCCTTCCTGTCCTGGGTCCAGGTAACTGCAGGAGTCTTACATTCATAGAGTCATTGTGTCTTTGGATTTAACTTCTTGCTTTACTCTGAACTAAGTGTTAAGTGATGATTACTTCCGTTGTGGCTCATTGTTCATTTAATGGAGTATTCAGACAAGTTACAGCTCACCGCTATACAACTCGTGCCTACTTGTAAGCTGGGAGGTTAGCTACATTGCTGGCTGGCAGCCTTCAGTAGCACGGTCCTGAAGGCGGAAGTCATTCTGCAGCTGCATTTTACACATTAAAAAATAGAGACACTTTAAATCACTTCTTGAGGTCACATAGCTAGTGAGTCATGGAGCATTAGAATCCAGGCAGTATGGGTTTATTTCCTTCATTACACTGTTTCTTGCTGGTTGTTGTTTGATGCCTTCACACTGTATTTATAATTAATTTAAGAATGTAAAGTATTTAAATGCACCACTAGTGGGAGTGAAAAATTAATAGTTCACTTTAAATGTTTTTGGTACCTTCCACTGTATCTATAATTTATTTTCTCTTAAAGTAAGAAGCACTATTTTTTTATATATACTCTTAACTTCTATTCCATTTTTCTTCAACTATCTTTAATCAAAATAATTTTTCTAGAAGCCCTTGCCAGTACTCTATGAATAGTTTTTATTGATAGAATTATAAGTCTAGACAAGTATCAGCTAGACAAATATATAGTTTGGCTTACATTATTGTTTTATTTCATTTAGAACTACTATTGTCTTATTCCCTACATATAACATGACACAGATCATGGAGGTATAGCTCCCCATGGGAAGCGGGCCTAAGCTGGCAGTCAGACATCCCCCGAGGGCTCCCGGACTGCGAGAGGGTGCAGGCTGGGCTGAGGGAACCCCCTCCCCAACTGCACTAATTTCGTGCACTGGGCCTCTAGTACATAGATAAGTCTTAAAACTAAAATAAAAGGCAAAAGAAAAATCTTAGGGTTCTATTTGCTTAGGAAGAGGAAGCTCAGATCATTGCAAGTAAGACCAGGGAGTTCCATAACCCCAAGTGGCACCATTCCCATAGAATCCAATGCTACTGCAAACATAAGCTATTGGCAATAATGAAGTTTTGAGAACTTGTGGTGGATTTGTGAATAGTATTACTTTATATTATTAACATATTTAAAAAGAGGGGCTTGCATAGACCAAAGCTGATCATATTCATAATTCAAGGGTTATAATTAAGCCATGATAGAAACTGAGGTCCAATTTAAAAGCAAATAACAAAAAAAAAAAAACACAAAAAAAACACGAACACACAAGCCCTAACCCAGCAGTTCTCAACCTGTGGGTCGCGACCCCTTTGGCGGTCGAATGACCCTTTCACAGGGATCACCTAAGACCATCCTGCATATCAGATATTTACATTACGATTCATAACAGTAGCAACATTACAGTTATGAAGTAACAACGAAAATAATTTTATGGTTGGGTCACAACATGAGGAACTATATTTAAAGGGCCAGAAGGTTGAAATTGTAATCTGGATGGTCCCACTCTGACCACTGGGTACACTGGCTCTTGGATCTCTAAGGAGGAGCTAATTTAGCCTCTGCCTGAGGCTACCCAGCAGGAGTCCAGCTGTGAAGCAATGCAAGCTGCTGTGGGGCCTTGGGCCTTCTTTTGGAAGTTCTGGGTTTCTCTGACCCAGCTGCAGTTTGTTAGGTAATTTTCAGATTGCAAAGGGCCAGGCCTTTCATATGCAAAAGCCTCTGCACACAGCTTGGGTGGGGTGGGGTCTCTGGGGATCAATAGGGCGGAGCAAGCAGCTGTGGTTGCTCCTCAGTCCTACCCTAAGAGGCCCCGCTTCTCAGTGTCCTGGTAATCGCTGCAAGTACCTCTAAGAGAAAGCCACCCTCGAGTTCCGACCGATGCCAGACAGTCCAGTTTCTCCTGTATGAGTCTGGGTCCCCAGAGACTCGCCCGGAACTGGAGTTCAGTGCAGTTAGGAGCTTGAGACTCCCTCCCGATTGAAAAAGACAACCGTGTCTTCAGCTGCCAGCCCTTTCCACATGCGCTGCGTCCTCAGCTGCCAGCCCTTTCCGTGTGCACCTCTGTACCTCTGCACTTTACTTCCATACTGCACCTCCTCTGAGTCTCAGTGTGCTTTTCTCTTTCCTTCTAGTTGTAGAATTTCCACTCAACCAGCCTTCCTGTGGTTCTGGATGATGTCTGTTTTGTCTTTTAGTTGTATTTTTGAAGTGGTTGTGCGAGGCAGCAATTTCTGGTGTTTACCTATGCCGCCATCTTGGTTTTTCCTTGGTGACCTCTGCTGAGGCCAGGGGGTTCCATATCCCCAAGTGTCGCCATTCCCATAGAATCCAATGCTGCCGCAAAGCAATCCTAAAAGTAAGCTATTGGCGATAATGAAGTTTTGAGAACTTGTGGTGGGTTCATGGATAGTATGATTTTATGTTATTAACATATTTAAAAATAAAGAGGGGCATGCAGGGACCAAAGCTGAACATATATCATAATCCAAGGGTTCTAATTAAGCCATGATAGTAACTGAGGTCCAATTTAAAAACAAACAAAGAACACACCAGTAGTTTGTACCAAATCACTGATTTCCTGAGTTAATCAAGCTCCATTTGGCTGAGTCTTTCCTCTTCCACCTCATTGCTCCTTATACTATCTGCTTCTTCTCTTCTGTTACCCTGATTCCTCCACAGCAACTCAAACAAGCTCAGCTCTCCCCTGCCTCAGGGCCTTTGCACACACTGTGTTCACTGCCTGGAGTATTATACCCTGGCTCTTCCCTGGGGTCTCAGCTTCATTGTTCCCTCTCAGGGAGATTGTTCCTGACACTCAGTGCTCAGTCAGAGCATTCTACCTTTCCCCTTTCTGTACATTTTTCATTGTATATCACACAATTTGAAATTACATGTCTGTTCGTTTGCATGTTTTTCTTCTCTCCTGATTAGACTGTAAGCTCCTCAAGAGTAAGGACCATGTATGTGTCTTTAAATCCACCACTGCAGCCCCACTGCCCAGCACAGCATCTGACACAGGTTCAAATGAGCAGGAACAATGCTGAAGGAGTGAAGAGGATTTTGGAAAACCTAGAAAACAAAGGAGTCAGCTATCATCTGCAATTCTGTCACCATATTTCTCTTCCCCGTGACCATCATTCATCTACTTCCCGTGATGTGTTAAGAACTTCCAAACCATGTTATTTTGATAGCAAACATTCTTATTTTTTCCCTGAGTTCAAAGAACGTAGTGCCTCAAAATAGCCCCCTTTCAGAGCATGATGAATTTGCTTTAAGACTCCTTAAAGGTAGCCGCTCCTATGTTCATTTCGGAAGTACATCAGCCTCCTATGTGTGAGTACAGAATTGTTCCAGAACGCCAGGAGCAAGAGAAAGTGTGGATTGTCTTCCACTCTCCTTTAGGCAGCAATGACTTACCGCAATGGCCTCGATGCACTCAAGGTAGGAGCTTTTCTTCACACACAAAACAACGGGACCAGCCTCAGGGAGGACTTTCTTCATACTCATGCTGAAATTCAAGCACTTCGCGAATTCATGATCTGAGATGGTGCACCATTGCACATTTTTGTCGGGGACGGCCAGGCACAGCCCTACAGGAGAAAGGACAGAGAGCCCTGTCCCAGTGGGAGAGACAGCAGCACCCTCTGAAGGAACTTGCAGGCTATATCCCCTCTGTCCTGTCCTACCCTCCTCCCACTCCTGTCCATGAACAGTGAAGGGTACAGGTCCCACTGCATTCTGAGGCTGGGACAAGGGAAGGAGAGACAGCTCTTGTCTCTGGTTTGTAAACACAGCACCAATTGGAAAAATGAACTTTTGGTCAGCCCCTGGCATTGCCAAGAGAGAAGGTGGAGGAAGAACAAAGAACAGAAGCCCTGTTCAGGAAGAATTTGGGGCAGACCTGGGGACTGAACCATGGATTTCCCGTGGCCATCGGTAGCTGGGCCACAGCTGTACTCTACCTTTCCAGCCTTCCCCCAGCGCCAGAGGAGCTCACGGTGAGGCCCTGTGTGGCAGACTGGGCCAGGGAGGGCCCACCACAGCACTCCTTGCCTTTCCTGCCTTCTCCCTCCTCTGCCCTGCCCAGACTGCCCCTCCCCTATGTAATATACCCTACTCCAGAAGTGACTGAAGACAGCCTGAGACCTGACCAAAACAGGGCTGGACAGAAACAACAGTTGCTGAGCCAGCGAGGGCTCTGCACATGCCTGAGTTTATTGACTTTGCACCACCACCTTCCTTGCAGTTACCCAGCCAAGAGCCCTGCCCACCCCATAACACAGGAGGGCGCCCCTACATTTATGTGCAGGATTTTTTACCAGTGCTAACTCACCTGTGTCTAGAGCTCTGCCATTAGACACATTATCTCATTTCACTTTCACAGCAACTGTGTACTTACTGTGAAAAAGCAATTCCTACTGAACTAATGAGGACAACAGCTCAGAGCGGTCAAGGGACAGCCTAGAGTCACACAGCACTGAGTGGCAGGAGGATCCCACTGTAGGGTGGTGATTTCCCCCCTACATTCCTCTCCCTTGCTGTGTGTGGTAGGGATGGGAGGTGTACATTTCAGAGCAGGAAAGATCCTCTGCTTAGATACCCGACAAGTCAAGGCATATCTGACATGTGCCCTTCCCTCTTAATAATAACCAGTGAGCCCTGCGGAAACTCCTCCTCCTCTGTTCTTCTTTCCTTCGCTGTAAACAGGATCAACAGCCTCTAGGCCAGGGGGTCACGAACTGTTTCTGTAATGGGCTGAGTAAATATTTTAGGCTTTGCGGACCACATTCTCTGTGGCAACCGCTTAACTCTGCCCTTGAAGCCTGAAAGCAGCCATGGACAGCACTTACCTGAACGAGTGTGACTGTGTTCTAATAACATTTTATGTACGGACACCGAAATTGGAATTTCATGTAAATAACGTGTCAAAACTATCGTTCTTTTGATTTTCTTTCAGCCATTCAAAGATACAGAAAATATCCTTAGCTCATCCTGGCGGCAGGCAGGATTGGACAGCTGGTCCTAGTTTGTGAGCCCCCAGCCCTAGGCTAAGTTGGTCAGGTGCCTGGGTGCACCTTGGGCGGAAGGCCTTTTGGGTGCTAGGCGGCCTTGGGGCTCCTCAGACCCAGGGGGTTCAGAGTCCCGCTATAGCTGACCCTCAGCCGGCCGGCACCGGGTCACAGTCCTGGAGGGCCGGCCCCAACCCCGCCTTCGGTGCGCCACTCACCCAGCGCCCCCGCGCACAGCAGGGTGCAGATGGTGAGCCTCATCCTCACTGCGGAGCGATACCGGAGCAGGCTCCAAGCCGCCTCGGCCAGCTCCACCGGTCCTCCGGGTGGGGAGGGGGAGGGATCCGCCTCCTCCGAAGGGATCGCCCTTCCGCCCTTCCGGGCCGGTCACCTTTGCCACACCCCCACCTCGCCCCAGAGCAGCCGGGGGCCCTCCGTGGGGCTGGAGGACGGCAAATTGTCACCCACTCGCCCCCTGCCCGAGGCTGCACCCTCTGCCCAGCGTCCCGAGCAGCAAGGCTGGAGCCCCAGGCGAAGGATACGCGCCCCGGAGGTACGACCGAAGCAACCTGGAGCCCGCTGGACAAGAGCGACCCGCCCGGTCCGCTACGTTCTCTGACCTCCGGAGCTCCATCAGCTACGCAGCTCTTTAATGTTTGAGCACGGACTCCTCAGGACTGGGGGCCAGTCCTCGGTGAAAACGGGGGACCCTTCCCCCAGGAAAGTATATGCACACAACGTTTTGAACAGTTTTCAGACTCTTCCTCTGAAAGCGTCTCTGCTGCCCCCTCCGGGCCCCTCTTGGAACTCACGCCCCACAAACGACAAGGTCCCTCCAACCTTCTGCTGAAGGCCAAGATCAGATGAAGCTCTGAACCCGGGCAGGGCTGCTTCTGCTAGCCCCTGCAACCTGCAGCCCAGTCGTCCCCAGTCTGTGAGCTCTGCCTGGAGGAAGTCTTCGGATTCAAATAACGTTTAAGAAGGTTTTATTGAAGCACAACAAACATACATAAAACTTCACAGATGCTGGCGTACAACTTGAAGAATAGCCACCCTGTGAACACATCCTCATACCAGCACCGGTGTTATGAAACAGGACGGGAGCAGAGCAGGGATGGCTCCCCGGTGCCCTCTTTCAGGTCACTTTCCCCCAAAGAGATCCATTATCATAGCTTCCAACAACATACACTAATTCTGTGGATTTTTGAATTTTAACGAGGTAGAATCATACAATACATACGTACAATTTTGTGTCTGGCTTCTTACACTCAAGCTTATATTTGTGAACAGTTGTCCTGCATGCATTCTCGGTGTTGCATATAATTCCATACTGTGTATGTGGCACACTTATCTTTCCTGCTGATGGTAGTAGTGTCTAGTTTGGGCTCTCATGAAGTGAGCGCTGCTATGAGCATTCTAGCACATGTCTTTTAGTGCATATAGGGATGCATTTCTGCAGGGTCTTTCCTCAGGAGAGTAATTGCTTGGTCATAATGTAGACATATATTCAACTTAAATAGAGATTGTCTAACAGTTTTCCAAAGTAGTTGAACCAATTTGCAATCCCAACTTAAGATACGGGAATTTGATTGCTCCACCTTTTTGCTGTTTGGTAGGAATTTTGGAGGTCTTGTGTTATAATTTTGAATTTCTCTGGTGACGAATGAGGTTGAGTATCAATTTGTATGCTTATTGACCATTTAGCCCCCTCGTGTAAAGGGTTGGTTCAAGTCTTTTGGCCCTGAATACATTTTAAATAGAGTTTCTATTCAATTAGTTTTGGAACTGGTAATGGCATAATTCAGAATTTATCCAAGACTTTATCTAATAAAGCATCCTCAGAATTGGGCCTTCAGAATGTAAGAATATGTTATAATTAAATTTAAACAGTCTATCTTATTACTTTAACCCACAAAAAAAATCTTTATTCTACATCCTCTTCTTGTGTGCAAAGGGTGAATCTTTGCTAGTAAATGTTGTTTGTTTCAGCCCCTACCAAGACATGAAAAGTTAATCCCTCCAAGCAGAAACTAACCCTGCCTTCCACTGAGGGTAGAGAGAGTCCCGAGGGAGTCAGAAGAGATTGTAAATCACAGAAGTCACAAGGTCAGGGGCAGACTTGGACAATCTAATGGAAAGATTATCACCATTCCTCTCCCCCTCCAGCCAACTGAGTTAAGTGTCCAATTCCAGAATGTGCATTGTCCCTCTCTGTGTGCCAGGTGACTAGGGTAGAATGGAGGGAGGAGGGGACCTCTCACAGTTGGTTAGTTTCTAAGGTGACCCTTTGGGCTTCAGAGTGAGACCAGCTGGAGCCCACTGAGAAAGGCACAGCAGCCTGTTACACAGGGTCCATGGTGTGCATAGAGGCTGGCAGGGTCCCTGCTGACCATAGCCCCTCTGCTCTTGAGCTGGAAATAGCTAGCATATTTCTGGTCAGGGATTCAAGCAATCTCTAAACCAGCAATCCATGTTGAACATAATCACAAAAGAAAGGATGAATGAGTCCTCCCCTTGGTGAGACACTCATCAAGAGATCCCTGGCATGTGATTTGCCCCAGAGGCTGCTAAGGGGTAAACCCTTACTCTGGGCCGGCTGTGCTGGTAACACACAAGTCCTGGTAACCACCTGCTGCACCCTCCCCCCCCCCCCCCCCACCATAGAAGGGGCACCTCCCCTAGGGGCAGAGATGCCAAGCTGGGTCTCTCAGCTACTTCTCCTTCTTTCACCCAAGGAATCCTTTGACCTTTAGCATTTTTGAAAATGAGAATAGCAGTCCCTTTCTCTTTTAAATTTAGAGGAAAAGAAATTTATATAGTTTTAATACAAACTTTTTATTGAATTATACAGATAAGTATACAGCTTATGGTTTGACACAATAGGAACACACCCATGTAACCAGTACTCAGATAAAGAAAGAGAATATTACCAGGAGCCCGGAAGCCCCTTCATCCCTCTTATAATCACTGATGATCAAAAGTAATAATTATTCTGATATCTAACACCATAGATGAAGGGGTAGATCTATTTACTGGTATATTATGTGTTTTTCTATTAGTTTTTGGATGCATAGTTCTCTTGGCATGCCTTTTGATTTTTGCTTGAACAAGTAATTGGACATTGTGTATAAAGTTTTTTTAGAGGCTTCAAATGATCTGCTATCATTTCCAAAGTGGATTCATCCTTTTATTTTGCTAAAAAGATAGAATGGGGACTGATCACTTTGATCCAATCGGGGTTGTGCTGCATCCAGGCTAAGTTGCAGTTTGGGTAAGCTCCCGTGCCTTCCCACTGAAAGCCTGGTGTGGTACACAGAATAATGGCCCCCCAAAGATGTCCATGTCCTCACCCCACAAACTGTGAATATGTTATGTCACATGGCAAAAAGGGGTTAAGGTTGCAGATGGAAACACAGTTACTAACCAGGTGACTTTTATCCTGGATTATCTGGGTGGGCCAATGTAAATCACACGGGTCTTTCAAATGTAGAGGGAAGCAAAAGAGTTAGTGTGTGAGTGATGCAATGTAAGAAAGACTCTGCGTTTCTGGCTTTGAAGATGAAAGGGAGGGAGGCCATGAGCCAAAAGATGGGAGCAAAAGCAAGAAAATGGGTCCTCCTGTCAAGCCTTCAGACAGGAGCACAGCTCGGATGACACCTTCAACTTTTCCCAGTGAGACCCCTTTCAGACTTCTGACCTACAGAGCTGAGATAGTAAATTGTGTTGTTTTAAGGCAGTAAGTTTGTGGTAATTGTCACAGCAGCCGTAGGAACTAATGCACCTAGTGTAGTCACTGGGATCCCTCTAGGGTAGCGGTCTCAACCTTCCTAATGCCGCGACCCTTTAATACAGTTCCTCATGTTGTGGTGACCCCCAACCATAAAATTATTTTCGTTGCTACTTCATAACTGTAATTTTGCTACTGTTATAAATCGTAATGTAAATATCTGATATGCAGGATATATTTTCATTGTTACACATTGAACATAATTAAAGCATAGTGATTAATCACAAAAACAATATGTAATCATATATGTGTTTTCTGATGGTCTTAGGCGACCCCTGTGAAAGGGTATAATTAAAGCATAGTGATTAATCACAAAAACAATATGTAATTATATATGTGTTTTCCGATGGTCTTAGGCAATCCCTGTGAAAGGGTCGTTCAACCCCCCAAGGGGTCGGGACCCACAGGTTGAGAACCGCTGCTCTAGGGCGTAGAATTTTCCTTTTTGTCTCTCATTCCAGGGAGCTTGGAGTTGTGCCAAATACCTTAAGGGAACACTGGTCATTCGTCAGGCTTAGTTCACTGCACCTCCCTTCTGATTGCAGTCATGCCTCTGCTTCCGCTTTCCCATCCCTGGGACTGCCATAAGCTCTGCTAGCAGTGGGCCTCTTCCAGACCCCTCTTCCCTTGCGCCCAGAAGTGGCAAATGCCCCCATGTAGTTGCAGAATGTCATCTCACCTCTGTGTTACCTCCCCCTTTCCAGAAACTTGGCACCTTTAGTCTCTAATGCTCTCATGCACATGTTTCCTAGTGCTTGAGCCACATCTAGTTGTCCTCGACAGGGCACAAATTCCTGCACATGCTACATCATCATGACAGAAGCATGACAGATTAAGAATTAGTTACTAATTCTTAATATTTATCATTTAAGACTAGTATATTATTTCTGAGTGAATGAATTTTATAAGTTATTGTGCTCATTTACAAGTGCTCTAGCTCTCACTTCATTTATTCATCCCTTTGAAAGGAAATAGGTGGTATGAGGGCAGAGACCACGTTTTTCTTGTTCAGTATGCTAATCCTAGATTGGAAAATAGGGTCTGCTATAATATAGGGCTCCAAAACACACACAAATAAATGAATAAATAAACATAATGATTGTCTCAAAAGTGGGTTGAGCAATCTTCTCTGCAGATCTGCTGATAAAAACCAAACTTCAGAGGTGAACATGCCTCCTAAGGTTAATCATCTATCTAAAGCTAACACAGCTGAAATCCAAGGTGCCCTCTGACCTCAGGATGGAGCAAACTCCGAAAGTTTCTTATGTACAGGGTCAAAGTCATGGTGCAAAGGAAGGACATCCAGAGTGCTAGAGCCATCTCTGTTGCTTTGACACAGCCTCTCACAGTAGCAGAGCAGAAGGTTAGATGTGCTACAGTTCTCACCTCTGCCCATATGGATATGTGCAAAGTTGCCAGGGAGCCCTGGAAGAGCTGTTTCCCTGCAACAGTAGCCACTCCACAGTTTTCCCTCGAACTGATTTTCAAGCCTGATTGCTGTCCTTGGTTCCACACCGCTCTCTCAATCCATGCTGCTTACCCGGCTTGGGT